GCATAAAGTCATCCAGGAACTTCACACAGCTTCATCCGTCACCTTATTAGGCTTCTCTGAGGCACCCCGTCAGCTGCCCTCTACCACACGTGGCACCCCACCATGCTGAGTGCCTGCCACGACTAGCCCTTCCTCTCCAGGCTCCTCTGTGGTCCCTCTTCTACCCATTCTCTAATGCTACAGGACCTTAGATCTTGACGCTACACCTCTTCTTTCTTTTGTGTCTACTATTTCCCTAATGTGCTCTCATCCACTGCCCTGGCTTTAGACAGTTTCCAGCTGGGACAGAACAGCTGTGAAGGGGGTAAAGGGAGGAGGGCTGGGGCATCTGCCTCTCACTACAGTCCCTCCAGGGCCTTTGGAACTTAGCACCATGGACAACCGTAACCTCTTCAATTAGCCAACAAAACGAATGCACATACAAATATACATACAAATATACAGACCGACCAGCTGTAGGCTGAAAACCCCCCAATATTTATTTCCAACCTAAAATCTTTTCTGAATGTGAGATCTGTATATCCAGACTTTTCATCTGACATCCTTTCTTGCATGTCTCATAGGAATCTCAAACTAAACAGGCCCCAAACTGAATTCTCAAGCTTCCCTCCAAACCAGTTTTCTCACCTCAGTAAATGGCCCATCACTCAACCAAGCACTCAAACTGAGGATCAGTCTTAATATTTCCTTCCCCCTACCCCCACTCAATCCCTTACCAAGTCACCACACACATCAGAAACATTCCTCCATTTTGCCGTGGTGCCGCGTGAGACTTGGAGCCTGGGCTGTGCTGGATGCAGCAGTAGCCTCTTCCCGGCCTCTCTGCTTCCACTGGGGCCCTGCTCCACAACCCCTCTTCCCCAAACCATCTTCCATCCCACAGCTGAAGTGTCTGTCAGATGGGTACACCTTGTTTGGGGTTGGCTCCTGCCCATGGCCCACGCACGCTGGCCACTCCACCATCTCCCTCCTGTTTGGAGCTCTCAAAGGCACTCCCTCTATTTCACCTGCTTTTCACCTAACATCCACTTAGCTTTCAAGTGTCACTTAAATAGTACTGCCTTAGAACACCTGCACTTGAATCCACAAAGTAAACTCTTTCCCTTCTCCACTTGTCTCTCACAGTATCCCACTTTTTCCTTACCAGAGCACTGACCACAACTTAAAACCATAAACGTATTTGTTTTCAATTGTTTTGTGTGCGACGCCCTCACCAGACTATGCCCCGTGAGCACAGCATGATGCCTGTTTTTGTCAACCATGCAGACCCAGAATCTGGCCCAGGGTAACGGTGGATTTTTTTTTTCCTTAGTGAAAAGAAGAAGAAATATTAAGACAAAAGACTAAAGGAAGGGTCAAAGGATGAAAAGAGAATAACATCAAGGTATAGAGGAAGGAAAATGTGCCTATTTTTCCTGAGTTCAGCTCAATGAATTTCCATAAAACTGAAGTGCAAGATAACTAGAAAATAGTTAAATAAGAAGGTTCTGTCCCCTCCAGGCGTTTGTCCAAATGCATGACCATTTCTATGAATTCAACGCCCTCACGAAAGACTAACTCTCCCATAATAAGTATTTCTGCAATGACAGGCTAGAAAGAATGTGCGTCTCTGAGGGGTAAAATAAGTTAAATATCTCAAGGAGAAAGGAAGTGAAGGTTTCACAGAAAGGGAGGAAAAAAGGCAATGTTTAACGGCGATCCCCATGGACCTGGAGCAAGGCCGTTTGGTCTAGATTCCACTCTGCCAGGAGGGAGCGGGTCACTAGGGAGTCCACTTACTTTTTCTTGGCCCCAGTTTCCATCAGTATAAACCAGTGCTCCCTTTGGGCTAAAAAAGCCTATGGTCTTATTAGTCATGCGTTTATATAATATTCATCCAATATGCAGTGGATCTAGATAAAGGTGTGTTTTGCCTCTGAACAGACTGCCTTGCTTACTGTTTAGGGAGTGTTCTCTGGACTGGTTTTTTGTTACCTTTGATTTAGGGGGTTATAAAACTTCAGTTCGTGTTGGTTACGCTGACCTATAACACCCTGAGAGACCAAGTAGAAATGTTTTCTGTAATAGCTTGAGTTAAAGGACGTCATCCTGAAGAACAACGGACTGGAGACTCCGACTTATTACATTTCTGAAACCTGAAGTGTATTTCTGATACTGTTTCACAGCTCAGAGAATATGAACCTTTTGACAGAATCTATCTGACCCCCTTCAGGACTGGCAGGCTTCAAACAGATTTCTTTTGATTTCAAAGCTGACAAAAATTGGGCTGTCTGCCAGAAGACAAGCTCTTACTGATCTCATAAAAGTGACACGGCTAGAGCACTAGCTTGATACGATCAAAGTGCCAAGTTAGACCGAAAAGTCACCACAGCTTCCTCGGGAGGCACCTGGCCTGCTCTGGGCAGGAAGGGAGAATCACCGTGGCCGCAGAGTCTCATAAGACAGCGCTGTCTCTCTTTGCACAGGCCTTAATATATTCTGACACGGCCATTTCTGACTGTAGAAAACACACAGTGATCAGAGCAGTCTTCAGCTCACTGCTGGCTAGAGAGGTCTCTGAGGTAAAGCAGGTGAGGTAACGCAGGGGACGGCAGGTCAGCGGCCCTCACTCCCTCCTATGCTGGCTGTGCTCGGGCCTCTGGACAAGACTGACTCTGTGCACTGCACAGCTGCCCCAAGTTACCGACGGGCAGGAAGTTACAGGCAGAATTCAAGTAGAAAAGGGTGACCTAGGCGATACGCCTAAGTCTTCTGATGGTGTCTCCTCTTGTATCGTGTTGCACATGCAGGTGTAAAGGTCCACACCAGGACACATGCTGCTGAGGGACTCTCCAAGGAGATGCCTTATACACACCAGCAAAGAATCACTAGGGTGCTAAGTGTAATGTTACTTCTCTCTTAATGTGATTTGTAAACTGGAGACCCTGATCATTATTATAGCAAATGAATCTAGAAAAAACTAATGATCAGCTATACAATAAGACCTTTTTGTACCCCAAAGACATCTCAGAAGCCTTGTCTCAAACCCAAGGCCAAACGCTATGGCCTCTGTCCAAAGGTTCCTTTTCATGCACAGCTCCCGCAGTGGCTTTCCAGGACGACTTAACCCCTGGGTCAGCTGTATTCTAAACACAGCTTGGTTCTAACTCAATATTCTTCCCTTTCTTTTAGCTCCCGTATTCTCTACAATACTGTCATTTGGGGATTCTATACCTCATGATGTTTTTCTTTCATCCATCTGTATGACTATCAGCAGTAAGAACCTCTCTGAGGTCCCGTTTTCTCACCTGTGAAATGGCGCTAAGGTCCTCCAGCCTCTGTTTACAGCCTCACGTGTGCAACGAGAAGCCCCCCACCACGATGCAGGCGCATTCCATCTGAATAACTCAATGCTGTTTTCTTATTTTTGAGGTATGCCTGCCCTGCCTTCAATCCACCACGAGCACAGTCTCATTCGATATGTCCCAGGTGTATTACAAGGCACAAACCCAAAGCACTCACACGCCGACCACTGGCAGCAGCTTACCTTCCAATTTTTTCTCTTTGCTCAACAAGTAAAACAGGCGCCGCCGCAGAGCTGGAGGATGGCCTCCGAGAAGCGTGATGCTCAACGCCAGCTCTGCCGCCTCAGCTCCAGCTGTGCCCGCCCCCCTGCAGCGGTGCTCCGCGCCCTGCTCACTTGGTACTCCCGCCTTAAGAGCCTAGCACGGCTACCGACCGCGAAAAAAGCTAAGCAAGACTAAACCTCTGTCTAACCTGTGACTGTCTCAGGTGATCCTATTTAGAGTTACACAAGTTTAAGTCTAGCACAAAACTGGTCAACAGCTACAAGTCATGTTAAAACCTAAAGATGGATATAATGGTTTCACACACACGCATATTCCAAACAAAATAAAAATAAATTTTTTCTATAACTCCAAAAGAAACATTCTCTAACTCTACACCTGAAGGGACTTTTTCAAATTCATGGTACTTTAAAATAAGTTGCTGTCCACTGGAAGAGGACTCACGGTTAACAGGGCAGTGCTTCCTGCTTGCTCTTTCTGAAAAAGATCAGAAGGCACTGTAAGGATAGGATGACTGTGAATTACTATTTCTTCAGTAGTGTTCTCCTAATAGTAGAGAGACAAAATGATTGTTTGATGAACTGGCATCTAACCTTTTCATTTCTCTTCTGTTTTAAATCTGTCTTACTGCTTTGAGGGCAATTTAACACAGAAAGATAACCTCAGAAGAGTCTGACATAAATAAATAAACTCTCAGTCAGTGATGTGTCTCTAGCTATTTGAAAACAAATAAAACCAGGAGGAGCCTAAGTCTCAGTAGAAAAGATGCCATTCCCACAATTTGTTGGAGCAAAGTACTTTGAATCACAGGTTTGCCCTCGCTTTCGTAGCTACCTAGCCATCCTGTGTACCAAGGCAGCCACTATCCACATAAACTTTAAAATAAAGTTAATTAAACTTAAATAAAATTTAAAATGTAGTTCCTCGGTCCCACCACCCATATTTCCTACGTGGTGGTCAGCGGTCACCTCACTGGTTAGGGCAGTAAAAAAATGTTTGCATCACAGCAGAAGTTCTGCCAAGAGCTCTGATGCAGACTCGACAGCACCATCTGGGAGCCACAGATTTACCAGCTGCCATTTACTTATTCAGGTTTTTAAGACATAAAACTTGATAGCTATTGCAGTGGTCTTTTTAAGTACGTAACCATGCCTTGGCTTTCTTATAACAATACCATTTGTGCTTGTATTACTTTCAGTAACATGAACTATTAAAGGTAAAAGTAAATGCGACTAACTTTTTCAGTAAGGACTTTTTTTACAAATAGACAAAATCCTCTGTCATACCATGTGTCCCAAATTCTGATGTAAATAAAAACCAACCAAACAAATACAACCCACGTACACGGTGAATACAGTGAAGAAATTGCTCTGAGAAGAGCCTCCACTTTCTCCAGGTGAGTCTGGGCACCTGCACCTGTGTTTCGTCACTCACCGAACTGCAGGAGGGTCTGTGCCATCTGCCTGCTGACACCTGCAGCGAAGAGAGTAAACTCTCTGCACCACCACCCGGACCCCGGCTCCCGACCAGGTGGCAACTCCTTGGCTTTCGACTGCATCCAGCAGAGAATCCCTCAGGGGAGTTCGGGCGGGGAAGCCCAGCTCTGCTTGTTCGGGCCTGAGGGTCCAGTCTGTGCCCACGGTGGTGTGACCACCACACATAACCTGGCAAGACACGCAAAGGGAACAATTCCAGTCTGACCCACAAGGGCACACTACATACCAAATCCCGATGTGCTTGGGGAACCCTAAGCATCGGGTGTGACTGCAGGACACTCAAGGAATGACAAGGACAGATGCATGCCCATGGCGCGGGGCTCCCATCCGCGGGCCACCAACGTGGCCGAGGAGGCCTGGTGAGTCGAGGAACAGGGGAGCGGCAGGAGGACAGACCACCTCGGGGATTTGAAAACATGGAGAAAGTACTGCTATTAAAACACCTTATGGTGATTTAAAACATTTTCTTTTATGAGGTAACGCTCTCAATAGCACAAACTACAAAACAAAATAAAAGAATGACTAGGGTTATTATGAAGTGCTAGCACTTTGCACACTCCTGTGAGCAACATGCAACACCTTTATGATCCCAGTAAACATCCTAGTAAATAAACATCCTCTAGAGTGCTCCGTGCTTCCTACATTGCAGCACTTTTCTTTACATACGGTGCTGTGTAACAAACACATTTAACCTCACAACCCAAGGAGGCAGGCTGCATAGTTACCACAGTTTGACAGATGAGAATGCTGAGACAGGAGTTCAGTGTCTTACCCAAGGTCACCCAACAGCAAGTGGCTGAGGCAGGACCCAAACTAGGCACCTAGTTCCAAAGTCCACACGCTTAACCACTAAGCTCTACTGCCGCTCTGCTAGCACTGACGTGAGACGAAGACACACCTCATGAATTTAACATCACATAGCTGTCTAAAACTGTACATTAAAGCAGTAATGCACTTTGAGCTGTATTTTACATCTGTTAAATTAAATTGATTAGACAGCCCCCCTTTTCACATAATCCTCTCCAGACACACGCTCTGACAGTCAAAGGGAGCTCCCGCTCAACTCCACACCTACAAAGTAGGTTCAAAGTCCGTTTCCTTTCCTTTCCAATGTCCCCTCACACTGTCAGCCTCAGTATTCCGCTCTGCGCTGACTGGGATAACTAGGCGACCCTGAGGCAGGCGCACTGAAGTCAGACACTTGGAGCCCGAGTGGTCCCGGGGGTGTCCTTTGTGCCCGCCGCAAGTGAAGTTTAGTGGTTCCCCAAGTTCATCTTGATGGATGACCATGGCTCAGGGCCACTAAAATTCCAAAAAGCAATCTCCAGTGTATAACCTCAAGTTTATGCAGCTCTTTTTATCCCAAGGGATACAGATGTTATGAAAAAGAAAAACATGATTTTTTTAATAAATAAAAGAGGCTTAAATAAAATTCTTAGGCAATTATGAGAAAAGAAAAAAGAAAACTCATATTTCAATAAATTAAAGATTACATATATAGTTGCTGAATATTTGGAAAGGACCAAAGGTAATCACCTCTATAAATTCCAAAGCCTTTAAACGCAGTATTACTACAAAGGAAAAAACCTCTAAGTCAGTGATAGTTTACCTGGTTTTCAGGTGAGTTATTTGTTAGGCTCTGCAATCTAAACATCTGGGCCAAAATGATGCTTCTTCTTGGAAGGGGTGTGTCCCAACTGTGCACTTCATGTGTTGTTTTTGAATCTTCTTTGGCAACAACTTTCTGACAAAAATAAGTATTCAGAATAACAGGGCAACTTCCATTTGGGATAATAAGCTTTTGCCTGGAAAGGGAAAGAAATACAAATACAAGTTTATCTGCAATGCTGGATTCCCCTCACCTTCTTGCTAAATCACAAAGGGCAACGACTTGCTGCCTAAGGACACAGGCCCTAGGGCAGCTGCCAGTGCATCTGGCTCTGCTCTTCTGAGCAAGTCTTGTGTCAGGAGTGGGGGTGGAAGGGGCGGCAGTGCTCGAGCTGGAGGTCCCCTGGGGCCTCCCAGGCTGCTAGACAGTGGCCTCAGGGCCCCTCGGGGAAAGTACTTGGCGGGGGCGCGGGGGGGGAGGGGGGCACACAGCTGCCCGACACTGAAGTGAATGTTACAAGAAAGACCTTCGGACACTTCACAGCTCTCATCTTTCAGAAAACATGACACCAGACACCAAAGGAGCTCCACCTTCACTACCAAACGGACCACAGTCACTGAAATGGCCCACATTCAAGTGGAAGTAGGACAATGTGCTACGGGTTCCTCTCAGGCTAGCTAATGCTCATTCCTCACACAGGCAGCGCTGCTTAACAGGAAGCTTAACAGGAAGACGGAGTAGACACACTTTCCCCTATTTCTCCCGTTAGACACAAGGAAATGCCTGGTGCTGCACAGAAACGAAAGAGCAGAAGAAGCTGAAAGGGGAGAGGAGGAGGCTGTCCAGCTGGGACCCAAGGACAGACAGAGCAGCAAGTTCCTGAGCTTCCTCTCTGTAGCCTAGGAACAGCAATGGGTGCCGACAAAAGCACCCTCGAAAGGAAGGACAGGGAAGGGGCAGCCCAGTGAGACAGAAAAGTCCTAGGGAATCACTGCTCTACTCTTGGCAAGTATCACAGAAACACTGTGACCTACTGCCACACACAGCAGGCAAAGCGCAAGTGGGGGCCGGACATGCCCCTCGACAGGCTGTGATGAAGAGTCTGTGCAGGCCGGCTGGGCTGGTGTGAGACGAGGCGTTCACCCTCACACTCCCATCACTCCCGTAACCGAGCCTCACTCCCCGCCCCTTGGAGCAGAGTCCAGTGGCCCAGCAGAGTCAGTACTTTCACCACTACCCGGCCCTCCCACCTTCCTCCACTGCGGTGAGTGGCAGCCTCGTGGGAAGCGGTAACGAAGGGAATCCTGACGCCTCCCTCCACCTGGTAGTAAGAAGCCCCCCACCCACCCAACGTCTCTTCTCAGAGCAGTGCCAGACAAAGCCACCTAAAACTGGTTTAAATAAGATCCAGGATCTCGCATCATAATACCTAACATGTATAGGTTACCATCTAAAACCACCTGTTACACTAAGAACCAGGAAAATTCACACTTGAATGAAAAAACACAGTGACTAGATGACAATGTTAAGATGACGCAGATGTCAGAATTACCTGACAAAGATTCAAAAGCAGCCATTACAAACATGCTTCAGTGACAGTTACAAATGCACAATGAGACAAATGAAAGAACAGAAAGTCTCAGCAAAGAAACAGGAAGTCTTGGCAAAGATACAGATTTTCTTAAACAGAAATTTTATAACTAGGAAATAAAATAATGAAAATAAAACTCACTGGATGGGCTCAACAGCAGAATGAAGGGAGCAGAGAAAAGGATCAGTGAACGTGAAGAAAAAATAATATAAATTACCAAATATAAACAACAAAGAAAAAAGAGACCAAAAAAAACCAATGAACAGAACCTCAAGAGGTGTGAGGAAGAAGAAGTAAAAATGGAAAGATACAGGTAAATAAAATAGGCTTTCCTGCTCCTGTTGAGTTTTTGAAATTATATTTGGAGTTGAAGCAAGAATTAAAACACTGTCTGATATGGTTCTAAATGTATGCAAAGGAAATATTTAAGACAATCATATAAATGAGGACAGTAAAGGGACATAAGAGGCAAGGTTCCTACACTTCACACAAACTGGCAAAATGTTGACCCCATAAACTGATAAGTGATGCATATAAAATGTAATGCCTAGAGCAACCAATAACATAGCTTATAACAACACAGAAACATTATAGATAAATTAAAATGAAATTCTAAAAAATGTTCAAGCAACCCACATAATGCCAGGAGAAAAAGAAAAACCCAGAGAAATGAAAAACAGAGAACAACACAGAGAAAACGAGAAATAAAAAGGGAGACTTAAGTCTTAATATATCAATAATTACATTAAGTGTATATGGTCTAAAAAAGCAATTAAAAGACAGATTAGCAGAGTGTATTAAAAAATACGGTCCATCTTTATGCTGTCTACAAGAAATTCACTTCAAATATAAAGATACAGGTAGGATGAAAGTAAAAGGCTGGGGGAAAAACCATCATGTAACATTAACATAAATATGGTTGAAATTACTATCAGATGAAGTAGGCTTTAGAGCAAAGAAAATTATCAGGGATAGAGAGAGACATCACACAATGATTAAAAGGGACAATCCAGCAAGAAGACAAATTTGCAATAGTAATATTTTAAGCCGATAGACTACACGTATGGTAACTTAGAAATAACAATTAGGAGACATGGAGAGACAGAGGCAAGCCAGACACAGAGTGACAGTTAGCAAGAAGAGGTTCAAGGAAGCAAGAGGACAGGGGTGGGGCACAGCATCGGGTACCACTGGGCTCAACTGCGAAGGTCCTGATACAGCAGGATGGATGAAAGATGTCATACGTGCCCAGCCTTTTCTTTCAAGTTAATTTGAAAAATATGATCAAGTAATATTCTTTTTTTTTTTGCGGTACGCGGGCCTCTCACCGCCGCGGCCCCTCCCGTTGCGGAGCACAGGCTCTGGACGCGCAGGTTCAGCGGCCATGGCTCACGGGCCCAGCCGCTCCGCGGCATGTGGGATCTTCCCGGACCGGGGCATGAACCCGCGTCACCTGCATCGGCAGGCGGACTCTCAACCACTGCGCCACCAGGGAAGCCCGATTAAGTAATATTATTTTAACTGCTAAGTTAAGAACATAGCACAAGATTTCTATGTGTATTTAGAACCTTACAGTTTACAGATAGACATACTAACATTAGAACTCTGTTCTGCCAAATTCAAAGTCCTGTTTGAGGCTATTAAGGTTAAACCAAATTAAAAACATACCTATACAAAATAGATGTGCAAGGCTAGTGGATTTGGGATAGACCTTAAAACCCATATCTAGGTCCATTTGGTTCATTTCGCTGATTTTACTCAACACCTATGACATGCCAGGCAAGGGGCAGGGGACTGGGAATCCAGTCTGAGACAAGAAGGCTGAGAGGACAGGTTTACTGCAAAGGAAAAGGGTGTTATATGATACCCCGAGGGAGGACCCTCTGGAGACAGGGAAGGTTTCCCAGGAGAGGTAACCGGGTGAGGGCTGCCTGGGTGAGGGTGTGTGAAGGCACAGGGAAGGGGATGGTGGGGCACCTGCGGGGCTGCCTGGTGGCAATGACCACAACTCAGATTCCATGTGACAAGCAGAGTTCTCAGTACTACCTCACTGAGCTTCTGCAGAAGAAACACAGACGCTGCTTCCTTCGTTAGGAGGCCGAGGACGTCACAGCCTTTCAACATCCATATACATGGCACCAGCGTCATGCTCCTAGGGAGTATGACCTCTTTATTTCTTTTTATGCTGCAGGCCAGTGTTAACTGCTGTGGACTCTACTATCACCTCTCTACTTATCTTATTGCTGCAAATGTTATGTGATGACCAAAAAGCAAGTTTACAGAGCATGTATTCAGATTAATATTGTAACAAGTTTAACCAGTTTTTCTGAAGATCTAACTAAAAATAAAGACAAACCTAAGGGGCTTCCCTGGTGGCGCAGAGGTAAGAATCCGCCTGCCAATGCAGGGGACATGGGCTTGAGCCCTGGTCTGGGAAGATCCCACATGCTGCAGAGCAACTAAGCCCGTGGGCCACAACTACTGAGTCTGCGCTCTAGAGGCCACGAGCCACAACTACTGAGCCCGTGTGCCACAACTATTGAAGCCCATGCACCCAGAGCCCGTGCTCCGCAACAAGAGACGCCAACGCAATGAGAAGCCCGCGCACCGCAACAGAGTAGCCCCTACTCGCCGCAACTAGGAAAAGCCCACGCGCAGCAACGAAGACACAACAAGCCATAAATAAACAAACACAAACAAATAAATAAGACAAACTTAAAATGTTAAACCTCACTTGATAAATCACATCACAACCAACACCACCAGTGAACATCATCATGATGCTGGACTCACAGTGATTCTTCTGTTAAGGAAGTTGAAGAGTGTGTGTTTACTTTCTAGTAAACTCTCAGAGCATCCTTGACAAGTCAGCAGCCATGGCAATAGGATGGGCTGCAATGTGGGACAGTCACACACATGGTAAAATACACAAAAAACTAGACAGGAACAGTCTTCCGTGGAGTCCAAGCACTATGGTTTCTCTTGGAAACTTTAAAAAAAAGAAAAAAAAGAGAATCCTGTATGTTCAATACAAATGACAATTTGTCCTAATGTTTGCTTTCATGAAGAACCATTTCCACTGCTCTTTACTGAGAGTGTTATATACAGAACTCAGGTAAAACAAGAAACAAGACTGTTTTTTTTAATGTCACCAAGGGCAGAGAGGAAAACCAAGTGAAATATCTTTTCATTTGCTATCACTTGTCAACACTGCCAAAGTGTTAAATACCCCATTATCAGCTCATAAAACAAACAATATTTATTTCACATCACAAATCAGATCAGTTTGCTTGTTTACTGTCTAGGAAGAATGTGTCCAAATTTGGTGGGTGGCAAGGATGACTAAGGGATTAATGCAGTGACCTAAACCAAGACAAATAGAAGGTATTTTCTTTCCTTCCTTTCCTTCCCTCCTTTAATGGCTAGTCAGCTAAAGAAGTCAGACTAAGAACTGTAGTTGTCAGAAAAACGTAACCTAGACTTAATTCTTCTTTCCACTGAAGACATGCTTGGGATAAACCAATCAATTTTGTTTACAATTTAGTCTCAACTCGAAGCCCCACTGGCCTGAGGACAAAGCTGTCTAGTGCACACATCTTCCTGAC